GGTGCTTCGATTCTTGTACACAGTTAATACACATGTCTCATTAAATCACAAGCAAAATACAATTCCTCCTCCCGCTAGCTAATTTAGCTTCAGCCAGTTACTCCAGTACACTGTTCCCGCCAGTTTCAATACTAGTAAGCCAGATTACAGGCGCCAAAAATTGGAATCCAAACGCCTAACACAGCTACAAAGCCAGCTCACATTTACCAAAGAATACACCACACACACACACACCCCATCCATGGCCATTGACTTGAATATACTACCACCAGATGAGGGAGACGAAGCCGTGCATGAGGGAGTGGAAGCCATACAGGATAACAGGAAGAAGATGAAGCTCTCTTTCAGGAGCAAGCTGTACATGAAGAGGATGAAGCCGTACATGAAGAGGGTGAAGCCGTGCATGAAGAGCTCCAGCCCACACGTCACTTCAATCTAAACATGGATCCAGGTACAACTCGCTGATCTATTCAATTCTTCTTGTTCAATCCTTCTGCATACTGTCTCTAATAATCATAGTATCTTGAGGTAGAAGATGAACATGAGGCCGATGGAGAAGAGTACCTGCATGCCCGACACCAGCTTCGCCATCAGCTGCTACATCCTTGTCCAAGTCGACGAGTTTGGCTCCGCAACCATACCGCCGCCGCCGAAGGATGTACGAGGGCGAGCGCGGTCGGAACCTGACTGCCCGAGCACGGTGGGGGCCTCCAGAACCAGATCCTCCGCAGTCGCGTGTTACGCCGCCGGCCGCCGCGATGGCCTTGCCTGGCTGGACATCGCCGGATTCTGCTCCTCCACCTACCGCTCCTCCGCCGCCTTCCATGGATCCATTGCGATGCACACCGGCAGCTTATATGGACCGGCCGCCATTAATCTCTGCATGACCAGCAATGGCTTTGGATTGGATGATTGACTCTCAGCGATCTGGGATTGGATCGGGAGGGAGAGTTGGGGGAAGAGGAAGAAGACTGGCTTCGATTTGGGGGAGAACGAGAGGATTGGGTCGTCGCTGGTTGTGGTGACCTCGAGGCGTAGATCAGGGGGGTGAATGCAAAATTACCTGCGGTGGAGCCAAACGTACACTTATTTTGGGGAAAATCATGGAGCCAGATGCACACTCTTTGGCGGACGGAGGGAGTAGGCCAGTATGCCTTTTTATCAGATGCTTTTCTTCCCTCCCTCACAGCTGCTCATCAAAGTTTGGTCCTCTTCATATGCTTTTCTTGCCTCCCTCACAGCTGCTCATCAAAGTTTGGTCCTCTTCATATGCTTTTCTTGCCTCCCTCACGTAATGGGCCAAGAGTCTTAACATCCTATTCCTCAGACGACGGGCCCACACCATTTCTTTGAAGACAGTCTTGCAAGACACCTTCAATAGTTTACCTTCGTATTTAGGTCCATCATTCACCAACTTGGAATACTCCTCTGCTGAGAAAACCTGCAAGATAATAGCACATTTCTTAAAAAATGCACAGCAACAAGCCAAGAAAATTTTTGCAAAATATTACTAATTTACCTCAAGAGGAATTCCAGGAAGTTCCTCTGTAGGGTAACATAATAACTTGAGAGCAGTCACTAGTTTAATTAAACACCAATCCTGCGAGTCAATGTCTGAAATCTTCTTAAGGTGCTCACCAGCAGCCCGCAAGGACTTACCATGTTTGTTGACAGAATGGTCACAACTATACACAACACCTGCTGTCTCAATAATATGCTTATTAACCTGAAAATAAGGAGCATTTCTATATCAAGGAGAATGCCTTGAAAGACAAAAATATTGGGAAAATAATGCATCGCTTTGGTCGCTGAAAATTGAGGGCCCTAAGTGTAACAATACGTGACAGGGAGTTACAAAGCGGAAGGCAATGGGCATGCCAGGAAGGAAACAATGAACTAACCATCTCTGGTTCAACTTGTAAGTCATAACTTTCCAGGACAGTTTTCAATCCTTTACTCATACGGAGGCGACCCTCCATAGTCAGCTCCAACTTTTCTGAAGGCACTAGATACTCTACGCAGTTCCCAAGGCCCCACATCAATTCCATGACCGCATCATCATGCAGGCAGGATATTTCCTAAATAAAGCCATGGTAAAATTGGTACTCGAATAGTTGAGAATATAAGCATTAGCGAGTAAACACTTACCAACTTGTCTTCAATGATGGTTTTATATTCAGGCTTTCCAACAGCTAGTTGCTGCCCAGGAACGATGTATTTCCGGATCGTCATAGCAAGATCTTCGTCAACACCGGTAACAGGGTCGATCGCGCTGCTCACGTTCTCAAGACGTTTAAATTCTTTCAGCCAAACCATCTGATACACAAACAAGGAATAGCATGTTGACCCTCGAAAAAAAATGGAAAAGCATGTCGAGGGGAGATGAGACAGCTAGTGAAATAAAGGCAGTGGTAAACAAGTTCCTCAGTTATTACTGTGTAACTCAGCATAAGTTAATGTACTAAGCTAACACAATGCATTCTAAAAAAAAAGACAGTATTGCTGTTCCTTGGTAGTAGTACCCATCACCATGCCAGGACTCAATCATCCGTAGTAGGCCAGGAATGGTGAGTGAGCACATGTCAATCGATCTTTAGATATATCTTGACACCCATGCTCACCCTTTAGAAAAGTAGTTTTGGGATATGCATGAGTATAATAACAGCACACATGCTTTCCAAACAGCTCGCTGGGGTAAATTGTGCCACGAGTAAGTGGAATTAGTAATGGCAAACAGAGCCAATGGCCAAATGGGTGAATATTTCTTTATTCGATTCAAAGAATATATCACACTAGCAAACCTGAAAGGTGTGAATCAAACAGGGGGAAAGGGATGGGTACTAACTGATTTTGCCAAGTAACCCTCAATGAAATCTACCCAGATATTCTGCACGACACAAATGACAGAAATTATTAGGCCAATGACAAAGGCGACAAGAACAAACAATGAATAAAACAAAGCCAGTGGTAACCAAGTACCTCAACTGCATTATCTAGGAGGAGATTCATACCATCATAAGTGAAAATTGCAAACCCAGATTGCGTCTCAAAAAGAACCAAGATCAGTCCACAATTGCCCAACTCGATACCTGCAAAAACAGAATTCAAGCAATATCAGGCAAAGGTAAGTTGACCAATCAACCAATCGGGAAGTGTATAAGCGTGTTGTCAAGTCTTGCATCCGAGGCTAACGGCCCACACCACCGCTAACTTGCTCCTAATCAAGAAGATCCACTAGTCCAAATTAGTTTCCTGGGCATGTATGTACTACCACTACAAGGTTGTTCAGGGAATTTCCACTTAACGTCACTGCAGTCCAAAAAAAATTGTTTTTGGCCAGTCACGGGATTGGGAACAACCCATCACCTGAATATATTGCTCATTGTAGCACCACGCCGGAAGGGCACATCCAAAAAGGTTCAAGCTACAGGAGCAACAGGAGCTGCACAGCAAACGCCAAGCAGCTACGCCACCTGCCACATTCCCAGTGAGGCGGGTGGCTGCAACCACACCAGGCCGCAGCACCACGGAGCGTGCGAGGAGTATGAGGACATCCCCAGACTGCCGCTGCCGACGCTCAGGCGAACTGCAGAACACCTCGCCAGCAGATCCAGCCGTCGCGCCATCCCCACGGCGACGATCAGCCAGCCTCGGCCGAGATGCTTCCAGGGCGGCCGCCCCAGATACCGACAAACTGGGTGGAAAGGCCGGCGGCGGGGCTAGGGTTTGAGCCCCCGGATCACCCAGTTTGGTTTGGTAGCGACACGGGCTATAACATCTTTTTTCTCATAAAAACAATCAAGTTTCTGAAGTCTGAAACATGCTCCGCACTCCAAATTTCCCTTCCGGCCTGGGTGAGATTGAAGAAAGAAGACGATGAAAGCTGGCAGCTTATCTCACCTCGACCGCAGAAGACGCCCCTAGTCCCCTTCCCCTTCCCCTTCTTCCGCTTCCCCTTCCCCTTCCCCGCCACCGTCTCCACCTTCTCCGCCGGCGCTGGAGTAAAGTTCGCCGACTGCGTCTCCCCCCGCGCCCTTCCCTGCCCCTCCCCCGCCACCGTCTCCACCTTCTCCACCGGCTCTGGAGTATCGTTCGCCGATTCCATCGCCCCCCGCGCCCTCGAGGTCAGATCCAGAATGAGAGATTGGGTGAGGGTTACGGAGCGGCCCCTGGTGATTTGCGGGAGGTTCTGTACCGGAATGAGTCATTAGGTCGCACCTCAGAGCTTTGGTGATTTCCGCCGTTAGATTATCCCTCCTCGCGATCTGGACCATCCATTGAGAGCGTTCCCTCCCCGAGCTACCAGATTTTTCCCTTGACACCGAAGCTGGAGCCACCCATATTGTTCTCTTGATTCACTCGTGGGGTCATCCAGGGCATGGCCAATGCATAACCCAAGATGATGCCCCGTATGACATTGTAGGATCGGATATCAGCAAAAATAGATTCGGATAAGGAAGCGAGATCCTGTGCAGGAGGCGGGTGCTTAGGAAGAAAAAATATGGTCCGGTATAAAGAGCTAAAAAAGTTGAAGTGAAAAATAGAGATACATATGTACTAGTAGAATGCCCGTGCTTCTGAAATAGTCACAGATAGAGACAATGTATCACGGTCACAATTGCATAATAATTAAAGTCCACTTAACTTGTAATGTAAAGTGTTACAAAATAGCACATTAACAATGTATACATATAAAGTGATGATCCAACTAAAAATCTATTACAAAGTATTGAGATCTACACGTGATGCACTTAAGAAATTGTCTCACAATATCAGGCAAGTTGTCTTTATCTTCATTTGCACAATGTTTGAGCAAGTATAATAAAAACTGTTTCATCAACTAATAGATACACTACGACATTTTACTATCAATATTTTCTATTATATGATATTTTTTGTGTTCATGAGTATCAAACACAATATTTTTCAATTTGTGACAAGTGCTTACCGATCCGTATGTATTGCCTCATGAAACTATTCTACGACATTCCATTTTGTAACATTAAGACCGAGCCACTTAATTATGATCTTTGTTAAACTTCGGACTCTGTTCTCCAAGTTTCAGACGCTTTTCAAGTCCTCATAACTATTTTATAATAGTAGGAGTTAAGGCAAACAAAATATATGTTAAGAGGACCAAAATACAATAGTAGTTACTCCCTTCGTCCGGATTTATTAGGCCCCTGGGCGGAGGGAGCGTGTCCGCTTTTAAAAGGACCCTGCATCGATTTGTGCTGCCGGCGCTTCATTTCTTTCTCTGTCTATCGGGGCTGCATGCCGATTAATTGAATGTGGGGCCGCAAAAAGGGTTCCCAAGCATCACGGAATGGCTAGATTAATCGAGCATGGGCTTGCATGCAGGAATCTGTGTGAAGCAGCATTGCTTTTGCAGTTAATCACGCGCAGAAACCGAAGGAGCACTATTTATTTTGAGAAATTAATTGTAGAGCCTTGGTACCTACGTTTTGGTCGAGGGGCCTAATAAACCCGGACGGAGGAAGTACCGTAGTAGTAAGGTCACTCCGTTCGATCTGAGAACCAAGTGAGTCCAATACTTGAATCTCACGTTTTTTTGGCATTGACGACTGTTAGATACCAATGAGTCTGGGGCGTGTTAATTGGAATGAACAACTGATGTAAATATCATATAAGTAAATAATAATAAATTATTATACACATGAATTAATTTTAAAAAATACATCATGATATGCATGGATAATGAGGCGATACTAACCATATCTTGTTGTAGATAAGTATTAACATGCTGTAAGAAGTGACGATATTTTGATGGGTCTATATATTTTCCCCCGTCTTCTTTCATCTGGCTAGAAACGAACGTGCCCTGTCTCATAGATAGCTGTGAGTCAGCATGCAATATATGTAAGCATTTATCACCTGTAATTCCACATTTAGATTATATCTATGTTTTACGATATTATATACTCCCTCCGTTCCAAAATATAGTGCACCCGCGTATTCCGCGGTTCAACTTTGACCATAAATTTAACCAACGAGACCGACTACAGCGGGAGAAAAAAAATATATAATTGAAAACTTCTTCTGAATACGAATTCACTGGTATAACTTTTGCTCCCGCCACAATCGATCTCGTTGGTTAATTTTATGGTCAAGGTTGAAGCGCGGGAACCGAGGACGCACTATATTTTGAAACGGAGGAAGTATTGTTTATATTATTAATTACAAAGTTTATGCAATTGGTCCTACACCATCGTGTAAGGATATATCACCTTCATAAGTCATTCCAAATCGTCGTTTGATAATACAACATCTTCAATGTCCACAAACATGGTTTTCTGGGGTAGACATGATTGTAATATCTCTAGGGGTACAAATATAGTCTGTCGGCATGATATAAAAACGAGCCAAATTACTATAAAAATGAGACAAATTGGTTGAATACAAAAAGCAATATGACGAAGGAAAGATCGATAATAACATTCAAAAGAATACATTGTGTGATAACATTTAAATTGGCATCCTTTTTTGGTTTTTTATGATATATCACTGCCTCCACATGATTTTGTTGTGAAAAAAACGGTGAATTTTCGGCCCCTTTCAGCGTCGCCGCTTCGGAACCCTTATCGATGCATTCTTTTTGTGCATCTCCAAAATCCATATCTGTGTCTCATATATTCTGAAAAATAATAATATATAAAAAATAAACATTTTGTATTATCATGTATAAGACACAGACATACAATGATTAGCTATATACCTCTTCTTGTCGTGTTTCAGTCCGGTGTGTCATCGTTACATCAATGTGTATGTCGGAACCCATCACTTTTTATCTATGATGGAATATAAATGATATTTGCTACTGCATCATATAAACATATATAATATATATAATAAAATTAAGAGTGAAACAAACACAACTGTTTTATTTTGTAAAAAAGGAAAAACCGTTTTTCATATTATTACAAAAAAGATGTTGCATTTCTTTCGGAGCAAACAACCAACTATAGTGTTCATATATAAATAATATGTCATCTGAAATTTCTTAAATCATTTTAATCTATTTATATTTTTTGAGAATTTTTAATTCTTTTATATAGGTTAAGGAAAATAACACGTGGACGCAATGCTACCAACTCAGACACAGACACAGAATGATTAGCTATATACCTCTTCTCGTCGTGTTTCAGTCCGGTCTGTCATCATTACATCAATATGTATCGGAACCCATCACTTTTTATCTGTGATGGAATATAAATGATATTTGCTATTGCATCATATAAACATATATAATATATAATAAAATTAAGAGTGAAACAAACACAGATGTTTTATTTTGTAAAAAAGAAAAATCATTTTTCATATTATTACAAAAAAGATGTTGCATTTCTTTCGGAGCAAACAACCAACTATAATGTTCATATATAAATAATGTATCATCTGAAATTTCTTAAATCATTTTAATATATTTATATTTTTTGAGAATTTTTAATTCTTTTATATAGGCTAAGGAAAATTGTCCGACAAAACTTAAAAGCATGCAAGCAATCCAACATAAACCAAATATATTCGGTTTCTTTTCTCAAAATTTTGATTTTTTTGTGACACTCTAAATATATGTAATAAGTATAAAAAAACATTTATCCATATGATCCAATGTATATACTTTAGTGTATTTTTCCTTCGAAGAGCAAACGTCAAAGGCCCAAATCGACTAACCAGCACAGCCAACCAGCACCCAACCTAGCAGTATTACTCCAAGTTATAAAGAAAAGGCAGTATTACTCAAAAAAAAATAGCACCAGTCTCCCTCACTCTCTCCATTCCCGCACAGTCCTTAGATCTCACCCACTCCACTCCCTCCGCTCTCCCCCACAGTCGGCGACTTCATCTCCCACCGCCGCCCCCTCTCATCCCTTCCCCTCCACTCATCTGATGTCGATCAGGTGCGCACACAACCGGCTCTCTCGTCTCCCACGGCGGCGGCGATGAGGTGCATGAACGTGGCGTGCGGCGCCCCCGCCCCGACGGTGGTGGGGGTGGGCCAGTGGAGGAAGGACTAGCCATTGCGATCTGGTGGCTTCGTCGTGCTCTGCGACAAGTGCGGGTACGCCTCCCCCTTCCTGCTACCACCTCCCTTCCTTCCTCCCCCCTCACTCACTCTGCGCTTCCTCTGCGGGTGCGTGCGGGCTTTGTTCCGAATGGACTGGTTGGCTCGCTAGCTCGTTGGCTGGACGAATTGATTCGTCTCGATGCTCTGCCTACCTTTGCCCCCGCCTTTTCCTCTCGAGGAGAAGATGTTTTGTTCCTTGTTGTGGTTGGGAAATCTGTGGATTTCCTTTTTGTCTTGCGCGTGTAGCAGTTTTCAGAAAAGTGGAGTTGACTCGGCTATATCTAGCGTGGATACCTACCAGCGACATAGAACAGATAATAAGCACTACTTGGTTGTGTGGAGCTCATGTCGAATTTAGATTTTTTGTAATCGTTCAGTTACTTAGGGCCAACCCAAAATTGCTTGCAGCAGCTTAGCTAGGGCCGACCCAAAATCCAGATTTTCTACTGAGTGGTTAGATCTTCCTAGCTAGGGATGAATGAGCTCTGACATGGTACTCCTACCAAGAATGGAAGAATGCAGACATCTAGCTCTATGCATGAACATTCGAGAGCATTCCCGAGAGAAACATACATACAAAGGCTTAAGCAACACTATACTTTATGATTGACGCACTCCTTTGTCAAATACCCTGCTTCCTTTCATGGTTTGGACACTTGTATTGTATCTGACAAGATTTTTAAATCCCTTCTATGTTTATTTCCCAGAGTCTGGAAGAACTCATACAAAATGAGATGGTGCCCTGCCCCATTGACATAGTTAATAATGCTATCGACGATCACCTAGCCAAGAGGCTCACCAAACTGTGTGGTTCTGTGAACAAATTAGTTGTGGGAAGTGCTGAATATAAAAGAATAATTGAAATGAACCTGGTTAGTATACTTTGTAACCTTTCTTGTTGCTTTTGTCTGGGTGAACAGTACTGACCACCACCTGCTTTTTCAGGGAATAACCTGTCTTTATGTTGATGTTCCGGATTGTTAGGTCATAATTTGGAGTCAGATGAATCCCGTGCG